GGTTTAGTAATCTTAAAAAGGGATATAGTGAAGAGGCAAGCTATGTTATTATAGTCATGCACCCCATAAGTTATTGATGAGGAGTTTTCCCTTATGGGTAGAGTAAGAGTTTCTACTCAAGATGAGATAGAGTATATATTTGTTAACCAAAATAGAGTTGGTGTCGATGTGCCATCGTATTAGAGGAGACTAAATTCATGTGTTGAATAAGAGAGCGGGGTATTTATGAAGTGATAGATCTAATCTAGGCTTATGCTTTGTTAGAGAGGGTCATGATGTTCAGAAGGTTATAGAACGGATTAACTAATGAAGTATAGTATAGTAGATGAGCAATCATATTGATATTCAGGTTTAGTAATAAACATTAAGCTTGAATTTGAGATGAGTGTCATGATCAAAAGAATGGGAACATGAGGGTGATTATGTTAATCTTGATATTTGATCTGGTAGACTTGACATAGAGTAAGTGAGGAATTGAGATGTTAGCTGAATAGATATGAGTGGTACAAGTGATAGACCCTAACCTTCAGATAAGGGCAGTGAAGTGTGGCTAAGTAACAAGAGTAACTAAAGCGTTAAGAGGTGTACCGAGAGGGCATGTAATCAGAAGAGGTTAAGAGAAACATCTTAGAAAGAGGTCTCAGTACCTGTTTATAGAGAGTTTAGTAGCAATGAGATAAGTATTATCAAGTATTAGAGTAAGATAATTGTAGACTAGTTTAGATATGATGGAATAGGTCCATAGCTTTCAAGTGTAAGCTTTAGACCTATGGGGGAGATGACAAGATGAGAAATTGAGTCAAGTGTTTGAGATTAAGATGGTAATGAATTCCAAAGAGTTTGGGGGATATCCTTTTTGGAGGTCCTTTTAGTAATGAAGTGATGTTAGAAAGAGGAGGTTGATGATCCTATCGTGATAATGATGGTGTGATAATTCTGTCTAAGGTTATTAATGAGGAGGAAGAAGAATATGAGGTTTTGCTATGAGAATTAGTTAAATGAAAGCCCTTAGTTGGTTCTTAAGGAGTTAGTCAGTAGGAGTCCATGGAGTTGTTAGAATACTAAGCTTGAATGTGGTGTTAAAGAGTAATAGTCTTGGGGGAAGATTCCCTATAGAGAGGTATAGAATCCGAACCTAAGGATTTGGGTTAAGCTTGAATATAGTAAGAGCATACCATTAGACTCAGACCTTAGTAAGAGTAACCCCATTCTATACCCAGCCCAGTCGTCATTCGAGCACGAATGATCCCAAGAGGGAGATATTATAACACCCCAGAAAATTTTTGAACTTAGACTCAAACCGTTCTTCGTAGTGAGTGAGATTTTACCAAGGAATTAAAAATTTCTTAAGTATTAAGGTCATTAGATGTAGCACCTTGAGTTCCAAAAAGAATTAAATTGGAAATTGCAAATATCTGAAATTTTGCAAAGTTAAGCTAAGTATGAGTTTTCGGTCGACTTAAAACAACCATAACTTCTAGATCATGATGATTTAGGTGTGCTACCAAATACCGTAGAGAAGATCTTTGAATAATTTTTCCAATGCCACTGAGTTTGCTCAGTTTTGAGTTCGTATCAGGGAGATATGTCTATTCGAAGTTGAGTTGTCTAGATAAGGAAAGTCAAAACCGGATTTTAGAGGGGCATTTTGGTCTTTTCCTTACCCAATCAGATTTAATTCATTTTTAGTAATATTTTAGGGGTCTAATCTGATTGGGTTGAATTTTATAATCCTATTTACGCCTAGGGTTTTAGTTGAGAGTTCAAGAAGAAAAAAGAAGATAAAAGAGGAGAAAAGAGAAAGGATCGAAGCGTTCGTCAAAATTCTTGGCGGATTGTTGCCATGGGTTTGATCCCTAAGAGGTATGTAAGCTTCCATAGTGTTGAGTTTGTTCACCCACACGCCAAATATATTATTTTCAGCGAAGTTTAATTCTCAAAAAGTTGAAGGATTTAAGTTCTTGATAGGTGTTCTTGAAGTTCATTCTAAATCTTATTTTGTTGTGGTTTTGATGATTTCTTGAAATGAAAGTGGTTGTTTTGAGTGTTGTTTTGAGTGGATTAGTGTGTACTTAGGTTAGGTAATTGAATCTAAGGAAAACTTGAGAAAAGAAATCGAATAAAAGTGATTTAAGGTCAGAAAATGATAGGAAAAGTTGGTCAGTTTTGCCTGGGGCAATGCTGGCGCAACGTGCCCCCATTGCGCTAGGAAGGCTGGGGAGACGTGCCAGCAGTACGCCAGAAACGAGCTCCAGTAAATTGGGGCCTGGCGCAGCGCTCCAAGGACGCGCCCGGATCGGTGTTTTTCACCAGTTTTTCATCATTTAGCCTATTTAAGTTATTCTAAAGTTTCCTAACACTTTCCATTGATTCTAACTACTCCAAATGACTTCTAAACATCTAGAAATCATCCATGAACATGAATCATAACCCTGAATCCATAAATCCAAATTCAAGGTAGAGTTAAGCAGTGGCGTAGGCAGGAATTTAATGAAGGGTGTCCAAACTTTTAATAGTAATTTTTTTTTAAAAAAAATGACGATTTAAATTACCAAAACAAATAATCAAGTTAAGGAAAAGGTATTAAAATTTAAGGAATTGAAAAAAAACCACAAGAAAAAGTATTAAATTTAAGGAAATCTTATTCTACAAGGAAAAGGTATTAAAATTTAAGGAATTGAAAAAAAACCACAAGAAAAAGTATTAAATTTAAGGAAATCTTATTCTACAAGGAAAAGGTATTAAAATTTAAGGAATTGAAAAAAAACCACAAGAAAAAGTATTAAATTTAAGGAAATCTTATTCTACAAGGAAAAGGTATTAAAATTTAAGGAATTGAAAAAAAACCACAAGAAAAAGTATTAAATTTAAGGAAATCTTATTCTACAAGGAAAAGGTATTAAAATTTAAGGAATTGAAAAAAAACCACAAGAAAAAGTATTAAATTTAAGGAAATCTTATTCTACAAGGAAAAGGTATTAAAATTTAAGGAATTGAAAAAAAACCACAAGAAAAAGTATTAAATTTAAGGAAATCTTATTCTACAAGGAAAAGGTATTAAAATTTAAGGAATTGAAAAAAAACCACAAGAAAAAGTATTAAATTTAAGGAAATCTTATTCTACAAGGAAAAGGTATTAAAATTTAAGGAATTGAAAAAAAACCACAAGAAAAAGTATTAAATTTAAGGAAATCTTATTCTACAAGGAAAAGGTATTAAAATTTAAGGAAATAATTCAATTTTAATTGAAAAAAAATAGTTAGTAGAGGAGGGATTCGAACTTGGGTCTTGGAGACCTTCATGATACTATTAACCACCAAGCTACTAAACTTTTATGTTAAAATTACGCATGTTTATTTACTTAATTGAATTTAAGAAGTAAAAATAATTACAGAAAAAGAAAAAATCCCTGCGGGGAATCGAACCGGGACAAAGAGTAGGATTGCACAGGCTATTGCCAACTCCACTGCGCATCACTTTGTTATTTCAGGGGGTCCAAATTCTATATATACCAATATAAAGTCAAAAATTTACATGTATATATAGTATAATTTTTCGACAAAGGGTGTCCAATTCCTACGTGGCTCTGCCCCTGGAGTTAAGAGTTAAGCCTTGAGAATTCTTCTGAACATTTGAGATAGTTCCTTTGTGTTTTCTTTGAAGAACCTTCTACAAATTTAAATAACTTGTTTCAAGACTGGAGCAAGTGAGTATGAGAATAAGGAGAATGTATTCATGAGTCCACTTTATCATCACGATATCCTTCCTACCATGAACCATAACTCTTGAATTCATAATTCACATTCAAGAGAGAGTTAAGAGTAGAGTTCAAGAAATTCTTTGAGTTCAATTGTTAAGAGTAGAGTTTAAGAAATTATTTGAGTTCAATTGTTAATCCTTTGAGATCCATCATCGATTTGAGTTAAGTTTTGAGGAAGTAAGAAAGAGAATGAGAAAAGTTATATACATCAGTTCCTTATTGATATTTTGACCCTTGAGTCGAGTCGTTCATACCCATAACTTCCGCATGAATTTCATAAATTGAGTATCATTGAGAGTAGTAGTATTTTCAAGTTCTAAGTCTTCAGTATTGAGTTCCTAACCCTTCCAAGATTACAATCCTAATCATGGGACTATTACTTATTACCCATGTAATCCATGAGTTGAGTTGTTCACTCCCATAATTCCGCACGAACATTATAAGTCAAACAGTCTTGAGGTGAGAAGTATCTTTGAGTCATTGAGTTGAGTAATTCATGCTCATAATTCCGCATGAACCCTCTGAGTTGAGCATTCTTGAAGTGAGTATTATTATTCAAGTTCTTGAATTCCAAGTATTGAGTTCTATCTATGGTTATTGAAAACCTTGCATTGAGTCGTTCGCGTCCATAATTTGGCATGAACCATATTTTAAGAATTTTTTACAATTGTTTTAACTTTGTTTTAAGACTTAAGTTTTGAGTCAAGCAAAGAGTAAAGACTAAAGAGTTGAAGTTCATTTCTTCAAAAGTATATGGGGACTAAGCATTCCCAAAGAGATTTAAAATGTTTTCACATCTATATATATATAATAGGAGAGGTGATAGTGCTTAGGTGTCAGCGCCACAATTAATCTCACATTTTTTGCTTTTAAAAATCAATCAACAATTAATTATCTACACAACAATCTGTGAAAAAAATTCAAATCAGTTTTAAATATACACATGTCATCTTCTTAGTTAATCTCTATTTTAACATTTAAAATAATAATCTATTAAAACAAATATAAACAATTGTCATCATTTGGAAATATGTACGTGTCAACTTTTAAATTTTTTTAAATATCTTACATATATAAAGCAGTCAATAAAATAAATTCAAACCAGTTTTATATATACACGTGTCAATTTTAAAAAATAATTATACACGTGTCAATTTTAAAAATTTAATTATGTATATACAGCAATCAATAAAATAAATTCAACTTAAATTTAACTTTAACTTTTTTATATATTTATCAATTTATACCGTTCGGTTGCATACTATAGAATTACGTGTCAGCTTCTCAAGTACCAAATAGCAATATATGTCACCATCTGAATTAACCTGTAATTATGTAATAAAAAAAAATCAAAAACAATTTTAATTAAGAGCAATTTTTAGTAAAGAGGTTCCATAACTCCCCTACTATCTTATCCACAATTCATAAACTTCCGTTCAAACTGCTTCTCAACTCACTTACAATGTACATATATAAAGACACCATTTGTGTCAAACTAAACATGTTTCTGTCGAATTTCACAATACAAAATATGGCTTTACAATATAACACAATATCTGAAATTACCAATAACTCAATGAACTGGAATTTAAAAGTTCGCGTTGTTCGTTTCTGGACAACGCCCGATAAATACAAGCCAGATATTCCTTATTCTATGGAGCTGATTTTGCAAGATGAAAAGGTATGATATAAATCAACTTTCTGAATTTAATTTATTCTCTAATTTTATTATTATTATACATTAATGATAATGATTAATGCTTAACAAAAAAAAATTGCATATAGGGTGATCGAATACACGCATCTATTGACAAGTACACAATAAAGTATTTCAGAGACAAGATTTATGATCATGGTTTATATCGGATGAAATATTTTGTCATAGCCTCTCATCACTCTAAATTTAAATCTAATTCTCATAAATACAAGCTTATATTCACTCAGAATACTATTGTGACTAAACTTGAAGATTCCTCTTTTCATATGGATGTTTTTAAGCTACGCACTTTCGATGAAGTGGCAATTCAGCACAACACCGACGAAAATCAACTAATTGGTAAATAATAATCTATATTAGCTAACTTCATTTCATTTTATTGTAAATATTATATCTAAAAATTCAATTATTTTTCAAGATGTTGTTGGACATGTTGTCTCGTATGAACCAATTCAATTGTCAAAGCAAGGAGACAACAATAGTTCTTTCATGAATATTGTTGTAGAAGATGAAAAGTAAGTTTTATTAAACAATTTTCATTTAATAGGGTATAAACCATTATTTTATATTTTCATAACATTGTTTACGCAGGAAAAACAATCTTCCTGCCACTTTATGGGGTGATCTCGCCTTTCAAATGCAATCACATTTATCTGGATCAACAAATGAACCATTAATTGTCGTTCTTCAATTAATGAAGACACACAAATTTAGAGGTATGAATTCTAAAATTATTATTTTGTTGCATAGTTGTTTATCATTTTTCCAAATATATTTATCTAACTTAATAAATCTTATAAATTATTTTACAGATACCTATTCTATTCGTAGTTGTTGGTACCAGACCAAACCATGGATTAATACAGATCTACCACAATCTTCTGATTTTAAAAACAAGTTAATTGCATCAGGCGAATATGAAAAGGTTTCACAAACAAGTTCACAACAATATATTTCAATTTCTGAGGAGTTATCTACAGGAATGGTGTCTTTTAAATTTATTAAAGATTTCCTTCAATGCACTGAAGTGAGTTGTATATTATATTATTATTTATAATAATATTTTTTTATAGTACATATAACTGTCTAACCATCTATATTAACTCACAGGAGTCTAGCTATTGGATTGCTGTAAAGATTGTTTGTTTGGAACTTGGTCACAAATGGTCATACTTGGCTTGCAAGAAGTGTATCACAAAGGTTGATCCATTGGGAGACAAATATTATTGCTTAAAATGCAATGTTGAAGTTATATCAGTTATTCACAGGTTGGAGCAAACAATATAAATATTTAAAATTTAAATAACATTATATAACACTTTATTTATACATTTTAGGTATCGACTTCAAATTCATGTTAACTGATGAAACTGGATTTATATCATTATTGTTGTGGAATAAAGAGGTTCTACAACTAATTGGAAAGACTGCCAAGGAATTGAAGGAAGGATTAATAGGAGATGTTGACAATGGTTATCCCACAAAACTTGATACCTTGATTGAGAAAAAGCTCATGTTTAAAGTCCAGATTAAAGATTCAAACATTAACAAGAATGATAATGTCTACAAAGTAGTTAAGTTCATTGATGATGAAGCATTATTAAAGGAATATTGTCATCCTTCTCTTATACACACTTTGACAGTAAGTGTCAAAATCATTAAAAATTTAACTATAATTTTCATATAAATTAATTAACTATAATTTTTGAAACAGGAGGCATCCCTTGATTGTGAACAGAGCATTGATGAAGATAAACTAATTGTGGTATATAATTTAATTCAACCTATATATTTCGTATTTTTAACTTTTCAGATTTTAAAACATAGTATGTTATTTTACATTATGCGTTTTACTAGGTAACACACATAAATTTTTGATTATGTATGTATTTAAATTATTTACAGACACCTATCAAGAATAGCATTTCAGATTGTGTTTCTTCACAAACAGAAGATGTGATTGATTTGACTAAAAAGTTATATCCCAATAATGGCAAACACGTTGGAGTTCGGCCAACACATGCAGATGATGAGGGATTAAATGTCAAACTACCATCTAACAGGTTACGCAGAGTTATAAAGAAGGAGAAGAAGGCATAAGTTTGTCAGAATGGGAGATAGACTTTAATTATTTAAGTTAGTTTATTTTAGAATATTAAACTATCCATTTCTGTTTTAAGAACGTATTTCATTGTGTTAGTACTGATTGTTGTTATTTTACTTTCTATATATGCATATGATGTTTTTTCACTTTTAAACATGTGTCATTCTTTGTGTGATATATAATTAAGTGTCAACTTCTCAAATTTCAAATAGTAAAATTCGTCAGATAACTTCAAATAACAATGTGTTGAATACAGATAATAATTTGAATGATGCTAACAATAATAACTACATACTAACCTTAAGTATTCCATATAAAGCAATTATCTTTGCCAACAATATACTTGCAGGAAATATTTCTTCCATTAAATAACCTCTAAGCAATCTACAAAACATAAGAGACAATTGATTAAATCCTGAAGTTGAAAATTATTGTTCTCACTTAGAATGAATTAAGTCAGAAAGTGTAGTATGAAAAATGTACAAAACAGTTTCATATATCCATCAATAGAACCGCTCACAAGCTATAGTATAATAGGTATCCATAAATATCATACATTGAGTCTATACTATCCACAGAAAAATAACCATTTTTAAGCTAATCTATAAAAAGGCATAATTCAAATATGAAAAATTTTGATAAGTGAAGGCATAATTCAAATATGGAAATTTTTGATAAGTCAAAATAGAACCTCCTTAACATGTTAACTAACAGAATAGTCATAGCTTCCCTCATAAAATCAAAATATGACTGCCATAGGTAATCAATAAATAGGCTTTCACTAACTTTATGTATTAGAATTGTTCAAGCACGGCAGGGAGTAATATTAGAGTTAAACTTTGATTGGATAATACGAGGAGAAATAAGAGGATTACCTCAATCTATTATATGTACATGTGTATATAATAATCAAGTACAAACTAACTGAAAGAATAGATCTTAGTATAACACAAATATAAAATTTATTGCCAAGGAGACAGTTATATCTACGTTCTAAAACATATTAAACTCAATGAACAGAAGCACAACTCAGTTCATCCCATACCTCTCTACACCTTAATCACACTGTTGAACCAGAAAAAATATATAGTTATGAATAGATTTTACATAATTAGAACAAGATTAAGTATTACAACAATCATATATAGTAAAGTATATAATTATGAATAGCTTTCTCATCATTAGAACAAGAAGGCTTGAACTAATCAAATACTAATCTAATGGACGTATAAACTTTCATATATTCCAACAAGACAGTATACTAAAGGTAATATCCAATAAATTTTGAAAAGTTATCACACAATTTCATAGATTTGAGTCTCTTATCTTTATGATAAATCTATATGTATGCTTCTGACAAAAAAACATTGAAACTAATATATGGTCATTTAGACGTATTAGTTAGACAGATTTTATTATATAGTTTTTTCTATTAACTGACTGATATTTTTAAATTTTAAAAAAAAAATATAATGATGGTACAAAAACAAGAGTCTTGAGACTCAACTTACAAATATATTGTGTAAAAATCTCCCTGTTTTGCCCAACTGACTGTAAATTTAAATTTTACAGTTATTCAATAATAGGATACAGATCAAAAAAATTAATAAACTGCTCTATATTAACTGATGTTCAGTTCTGATGTTTTGTCCATTTAAAGAGATATAGAGTTCAATAACATACAACAAAGACATGAAAGATCATAAAAAATTAGCAAGAAAAAACAGAATCTGCTTACAACAGAATCAAAAACGTGAAAAAATGCTCATTAGATGTCAATGGTTAGTTTTTTCATATCTTTCTTTTGTTTGATTAATTGAGTAACTTTCTTACACTTTCAGAAACACTTTAATTAAGTGTTAAAATGTTTATAAATTGGACAAACACATCCATTAAAAATTGTAATACTATAAGGGGGAAGAGATTTTGATGGAAAGACATGATTACTGATTTCTTTTAAATATGACACAGATTTAACAGATTTTACAATCTATAAAAACATACATTATGCCTAATATAGTTAATTTAGTGGCAATACATTCACAATTGTCATTTAACTTTGTAAAATTAGTTAGTACAAAGTGATTAACTTAGTGATGATAAACTAATAAAATATGATGAATGATTGTAGGCTTATTAAGTAATTTATTGTGCATTTCTTATTTCCACTTATATAATATTGTTATACTTATTTTCTGTAGAGAATCAATGCTTGCATAAGTAGATTGATATTTTACTCCATTGAAAGTACATTAGTTAATGCATATTCCTTTATGCTAGATTTGCCAAGTAGTTCTTCTTCAAATTCAATGCAATCTAAAGGTAAACATATAATGGTGGATGAGAACGCATTTTCGGTGGAACATTCTAATGTTCAATCAAATGAGCAAAATATTTATGAAAATGAATAAGAAGATATGTTGGAAGGTATGAATCTATACTTAAACACATTTTATGTTCTTATAATTTATTAATGTTCTAAATTTTGTATAGTACTAATTTTTTTACATTTTTTTTATATTTATAGGGGATGAAATTGAAGGTAGTAGAATTTACAATCAAGGTATTTGTTTCAATATTACCTTTCTTCAACAAATCGATTTATGTTATTTCTACAGTAAATAATTGAACTCTATCTTTTAAATTTTAAATGAAATACCATTAGATTATTGGGATATGGGAGATCCTACTTATGAGTGTGAACATTGCGGTGCGTACTTCTGGTATGAAGAAAGAATTGAGAAGAGATACAAAAAAATAAAACTTGTTTTCACTTTGTGTTGCGGTAAGGGAAAGATAAAGCTTCCAAATCCAAAGGATCCTCCTACACTGCTAAATGAATTATTATTTGGATCAGGTAATTGAAATTATTTATCAATTTACTACATTATTATTAGAATATATTCTTTTAAATGTTTGAATAACATAAAATTAATTTAGGTGGCAAAAGTTGTCATTTCAAAGAGAATATAAGAAATTATAATTCTATGTTTTCATTTACATCAATGGGAGGAAAAATTGATGCATCTGTCAATCAAACGAAAGGGCCAAGAACATTCAGATTATCTGGACAGAATTATCATAAAATTGGAAGGTTATTACCTACCAAGGGATTTACTCCAAAATTTGCACAATTGTATATATATGATACAAAAAATGAGGTGCAAAATAGAATTAATGTTTTAAAGTAAGTATTTATAGTATATATATATTTTACAAGGTTCAATATAATTGTAATTATTAATCACTATTATTTATATAACTACTCCCTCTGTCCCAATTTATATGACTTACTTTCCTTTTTAGTCAGTCCCAAAAAGAATGACACATTTCTATTTTAAGTAACAATTTGCCTATAAAATGTCCTTTTTACCCTTAATGAAATGATTTACAACCACACAAATTTCTATCATTCATTTTGGACCACAAGTTTTAAAAGTCTTTCCATTTTTCTTAAAGTTTGTGCCAAATCAAAGTACATCATATAAAATGGGACGGAGGGAGTATTTTTTTTAGTCAGCAGCTTTGGTGGTTGGTGATTTTGAACCAACCAGTTCAGACAGAGATATAATAATTGAAAGTCATTTTGGACAACTTAAGAGAATAAGTGAATTGAATGCAGCATACTTAGGTTTGCAATATCCATTACTTTTTCCATTCGGTGAAGATGGATATAGAGAACATATTCCTTTAAATGGAATTGATGAATCATCTGATGGAAGGAAATATGTTAGCTCTCTTGAATATTTTTCATACAAAATTCAAGAAAGGAATTGACAGAGATATAATAATTGAAAGTCATTCTGGACAACTTAAGAGAATAAGTGAATTGAATGCAGCATACTTAGGTTTGTAATATCCATTACTTTTTTCCATTTGGTGAAGATGGATATAGAGAAGATATTCCTTTAAATGGAATTGATGAATCATCTGATGGAAGGAAATATGTTAGCTCTCTTGAATACTTTTCATACAAAATTCAAGAAAGGAAGAATGAAGTACCAACAATTGTATCGGCTAAAAGATTATTTCAACAATTCTTGGTAGATGGATATACAATGATAGAATCTTCTCGATTGCTATTTTATAGGCTCCATCAAACACATTTGAGAGCAGACTTCTATAAGGGATTACAAGAAGCTGTTTTACAGGGAGACACTCAACCTTCTTCTAAAGGACAAAGAGTAATATTATCTTCTTCTTTCGATATGTTAGCTCTCTTGAATACTTTTCATACAAAATTCAAGAAAGGAAGAATGAAGTACCAACAATTGTATCGGCTAAAAGATTATTTCAACAATTCTTGGTAGATGGATATACAATGATAGAATCTTCTCGATTGCTATTTTATAGGCTCCATCAAACACATTTGAGAGCAGACTTCTATAAGGGATTACAAGAAGCTGTTTTACAGGGAGATACTCAACCTTCTTCTAAAGGACAAAGAATAATATTATCTTCTTCTTTCACTGGAGGTACACGTTACATGTTGCAAAATTATCAAGATGCAATGTCAATATGTAAATGGGCCGGATATCCTGATTTATTTATTACATTTACTTGCAATCCTAAATGGCCCGAGATCACTAGATTTGTGAACAGTAGGGGATTGGCTCCAGAAGATCGGCCAGACATTATAACGAGAGTCTTTAAAGTCAAATTAGATCACTTGATAAAGGATTTGCGAGACAACAAAGTTTTTGGACAAGTAAAAGCAGGTATAATTATTGCCTTATTATTATACCACAATTGTTTATTTTTAATTTGAAACAATAATAAAAAATAATATCATATTTATCCTTTGATTCAGTGATTTATACTATTGAATTTCAAAAGCGTGGATTGCCTCATGCGCATATTTTTCTATTTATAATAAATCTCCAAATATTGGTGATATTGATGATATTATTTCAACTGAATTACCAAATAAATTACTTTATCCGAATTATTATGTGGCTATTACAAATTTTATGATGCATGGCCCATGTGGTTCAGTTAGAAAATCATCTCCTTGCATGCAAAATGGAAGATGTTCAAAACACTTTCCAAAAAGGTTTATTTCTTCTACCTCAATTGATGAGGAGGGATATCCTGTATATAGAAGAAGAGATGATGGCAGCTCTACAAAGAGATCAGGTATTGATTTGGATAATAGATATGTTGTACCACACAATAGATTTTTGTTGTTGAAATATGAAGCGCATATTAATGTTGAATGGTGCAATCAATCAAGGTCAATTAAATGTATATTATTGCCTTATTATTATACCACAATTGTTTATTTTTAATTTGAAACAGTAATAAAAAACAATATCATATTTATCCTTTGATTCAGTGATTTATACTATTGAATTTCAAAAGCGTGGATTGCCTCATGCGCATATTTTGCTATTTCTACATAATAAATCTCCAAATATTTGTGATATTGATGATATTATTTCAGCTGAATTATCAAATAAATTACTTGATCTGGATTATTATGTGGCTGTTACAAACTTTATGATGCATGGCCCATGTGGTTCAGTTAGAAAATCATCTCCTTGCATGCAAAATGGAAATCAAAACACTTTCCAAAAAGGTTTATTTCTTCTACCTCAATTGATGAGGAGGGATATCCTGTATATAGAAGAAGAGATGATGGCAGCTCTACAAAGAGATCAGGTATTGATTTGGATAATAGATATGTTGTACCACACAATAGATTTTGTTGTTGAAATATGAAGCGCATATTAATGTTGAATGGTGCAATCAATCAAGGTCAATTAAATACTTATTCAAGTATGTTAATAAAGGTCATGACCGTGTTACAGCTGCTTTTTGTCATAGTGCGAATTCTTCAGATTCAAGAGGGGTTGATGAAATACATATGTATTGGGATTGTCGGTATATATCACCATGTGAAGCAGCTGGAGAATCTTAAATTTCCAATCCACCATAGAGAACCTTCTGTAGAAAGGTTATCTTTTCATTTACCAGACAATCAGAATATCATATTTTTAGATGATGATCCAATTGATGTTGTCATCAATAAACCAACCATAAAGGAATCCAAGTTTTTAAGTTGGTTTGAAGCAAACAAGGAACTTCCTTAAGCAAGAGATTTAACCTATGCAGAATTTCCTTTAAAGTTTGTTTGGAAGCAACAATCTAAGAGATGGGATAAAAGAAAAACTTCTGCATTTTCGATTGGAAGAATTTTCTTTGTTCCACCGGGATTTGGTGAGCAAAATTATCTTAGATTGTTATTGAATATTGTTAGAGGTCCCACTTCATATGAGGAATCAGAAGAATAAATGATATTGATCATGAGACTTTTAGAGATGCATGTTATGCTTTAGGATTATTAGATGATGACAAAGAATATGTTGATGCTATAGTAGAAGCAAGTCATTGGGGAATGCCATCATATCTAAGACAATTATTTGCTATGCTACTTATATCAAATTCAATGTCACGTCCGGAGGTTGTTTGGCAATCAACATGGCATTTACTATCTGAAGATATTCTTCATGAACAAAAAAGAGTATTAGATAACCCAGGTACCCAATACTATTTTAAATTTAAATTAATCTTATTATTATCATGAATTCTATATTATTTTTGTTTGATTAATTAGTTTATTATATTTACGTTTAATATTAATTTATTATATATTTATATTATTTTTTCAGAAGCTTATCTATCAGATGCTGATTTGAAGAATTGTTGCTTGCAAAAGATAGAAAGTTTTTTAAAAAGTTGTGGAAGAAGTTTTTCAGATTTTCCTACAATGCCAATACATGTTTACACTGAGGATGATGTTGACAATCACCAATAGATTAATTTGTGATGAAATGTGTTACAATAAACGTGTTTTAGCTGATGAACATCAACAATTGGTATTAAATTTAACGGATGAGCAGAAATCAGTGTATAAAAAAATTATGGCAGCAGTTAATGAAAATATGGGTGGATTCTTCTTTTTATATGGATTTGGAAGAACAGGAAAAACTTATATTTGGAAGACTCTATCAGCTACCATAAGGTCCAAAGGAGATGTTGTTTTAACAGTTGCATCTAGCAGGATTGCATCTCTTTTATTACCAGGTGGCCGAACAGCACATTCAAGATTTGTTATCCCGCTAAATATAACTGAAGATTCAACATGTAAGTTAAAACAAGGTACTCCTTTAGCACATTTGCTAATCAAGACTAAGTTGATTATTTGGGATGAGGCTCCAATGATGCATAAACATTGTTTTGAAGCTCTTGATAAGACTTTAAGAGATATTATTGGCTATAAAGACGCAACCAAGTCAGAATTACTATTTGGTGGTAAAACAATTGTTCTTGGAGGTGACTTCAGACGAATTCTTCCTGTGATCCCAAAAGGTAGTCGACAAGATATTGTTAATGCAACTCTCAACTCTTCATATTTATGGCCCCATTGTGAATTATTAACACTGACAAAGAATATGAGGTTGCAAAACAGTGACGCTGATACTGATCTACAAGAGTTGCAAGAGTTTTCTAATTGGATATTGGCTGTTGGGGATGGTAGTATTGGTAATTCATTTGATGGAATTGATAAAGTTTTAATACCAAAGGATCTTCTAATAACTGAATATACTGATCCAATAGCAGCTATTGTGGAAAGTACGTATCCAGATTTTAGTACTAATTGTAATGATGTTGGATACCTACAACAAAGAGCCATTCTTGCTCCGACTCTTGATATGGTGGAATCAATCAATCAATATATGATCTCCTTGAATCATAATCCTGAGAAATCATATTTGAGTTCTGACAAAATATGCAAGTCTGATCATACTTATTCAGCTTTGGAACATGTACACACCCTAGATTTTTTGAACACTATTAAATGTTCTGGAGTTCCAGTGATGTTACTAAGAAATATTGATCAGGCAGCAGGACTATGTAACGGAACTAGGTTGATTGTTACTAAACTTGGAAATCAAGTAATTGAAGCAAAGGTTTTATCTGGACAGATGGTTGGACAGAAGGTATTTATTCCAAGAATGACTTTAAGACCTTCAGATGCTAGAATCCCATTTAAGTTTCAAAGAAGACAGTTTCCTATAACTGTATCATTTGCCATGACAATCAACAAGAGCCAAGGACAGTCTTTATCTCATGTTGGATTATTTTTGAAGAAACCAGTGTTTACCCATGGACAACTTTATGTAGCTGTTTCTAAAGTAACAAGTAGAAAGGGATTAAAAATACTGAGTTACAATGATGACGGAAAGTTAACTGATGAGGCTATAAATGTAGTATATAAAGAAGTGTTTTGAAATCTATTGTGATATGCAGATTCTTTGGGATGTTTATATATACTGTAATTGTTTATGATTATTATAAAATAATTCTGATGAAGTTGCTGTTATAATTATGGTATCATTTAGAGGTATGCTATTTTAACTACCTAAATAATTTTTAATAATATTGTGTTCTGTGTAGTACACCTAAAGATAACATTATATGATCTAAAATGTTATGCGATTACTTTAATTAATATAGAAATTTATTAATTTTAAATTTTTTATCATGTAAATTGATTGATTTACCTTTTTTTTTGCATTATTTTTTCAAGCTAATGACAATCAAGAAACATTAGAAAGTGTTTTATGCAATCAGAAGAAATAAGAGTTCTAAAAGGAAAAATACTGATAATGAATGTTCAGGTACAATTTTAATCATTAGTATTTGCATTATACATTTTCAGGTAAAATTTTAATCTCAAATTTTTTCATTATACTTCTCTAATATTTCCTTTAGTCTTCTCTAATATTTCCATTATTCTTTTATCATTAATGTGTTTTATAAAGATTTATAATAATTATAATATTTTAAAATACTTTAAATAGATTAATATTGTTAACTCTTTTAGTGACAGTGGCAGATAATACAGCTGATATTTTGAGTTCTTGAATTTGAATAATTGGTATCAAGAGTTTGAAAAAACAGAGAGGAAGAATACACTTATGCATATAGTGAACAATTTCACACTTAAGTAATTGAGTGTGCTTTGAAGATAGTATCAGTCTCTTTCATTATATCAAGTGGAACCGCATGTTGACATTATTTTTTTATAACTAAACTATATATATGCAATGGAGGGCTTGGTTCTATATACTTTTTAAACTTTAGATTTAATCGTGCTATCCTGTAACAAGTATTTAAAGGAGTTCATATATGCTTT